CTCACCTCCCTGTCATCCATATGTTTCGACATGTTTTCCGGGCGGATCTGCTCCATGATCTTAATAGGCATGGATGTGAGGCTGACTGGTCAGTAGTTAACAGCCTGGGGCTGGACCAGCCTTTCTAGCCCATCTCTTCCCTGGTGGTTTTTAAAACATGTTTCATTTTTGTTACTTTAAGTCTATGAAACACTATGGAAAATGTTTCAGCCAACTCCATTGATCCCTAGGAAGGATCCTTTATGGTGTGCTCCCAAAGACGATAGCTCATGGGGCTGCCAGGTCTGTGCTTCCTCTTTGCATTCACCTTTAAAAAGTACCCTACATTTCATAAATATAAGTTAAATTCATAAGATAAATAGGCACATCAATGGTAAGCTGTGAGAAGCAGATGAAAAGTTGTAAGGCCAGAAAGGTTTATTTTTTAAAATTTCCTTGGAGGAACTGTGGTCAGGATCTTCTTTAATTTTTTATTGAAAAAGGTAAGTCTTTGCCAAAAAGATCCTTCTTCCCAGCTTTGTCAGGGAACTAAGTTATGAATTAGTTGGAAATTGTACTTTCCTTGATTACGTTGGTTGGTTGTTGTCAGTAAAGAATTGCAGGTCGCAAAGAGGTGAAGGTTTATTAATCTGAATATGAATGAGGAGGCTTCGATGGCTGAGAACCGTATCATGTGCGCAGTCACTGTCATGGTGATGCTCAGGTGTGCTGCGGCAGGTGGGTGACAGCCGCCTGCAGTTAACTGTGAAGCGTGGAGGTCTGGTGTCTGCTGCTGCACTCCTGATCACTGCTGGGTGGTTTGGAGATTTTTTCCCTCCTCCTTTATTGATAATGGTGACCGGCCATGCTGAGTGTCAGGCTGCAGGCTGGAGTCCCACCCGCCCCCTAAGGAGCATCCTGCATGGCAGCTCTGGGCACTGGCTCGACCCCCAGCCAAAGCCTTCTCTTCCCGCCCAGCAGGGACTGGGGACACAGCCTCATGGTGCTGGTGGCCATGGGGGCATCCCTGCTCCCCTGCAGTGCTCAGGGTCAGCAGGAGCAGAGCAGATGTCGTGGGTTGGCTGTGGGATGCGAAGAGCCTGGCCTGTCCTCTTAAATACCACATCTTGCCCCTTAGCGCTGCTCTGCTTGCCCAGGTGATGCTGGCCGTAGCAGTGGTGATGTTGTGGTACTTCAGTTTCCTGTTGCTGATTGTCACTCACCGTGAACGGTTAAATAGATTTGAGTGAGTCACTTAAACAGACACCATGGATGTGAAAATAATTGTCTGGGAAGCCTATGCCTGCCAGGTCGCCAAGTAATCCTCACACGTCCTGTGACTCAAAGCCAGCCAGAAGGAATATTTTCTCCCTGCTGCTCAGTTGGAAATATTTTAAGGGAAGGCAGACTAGCTCCCTGTCCCATGTTCCCTCCATCCATCCGCATGGTCCTGTCCCCTTCCTGAGCTGCCAGCACGTGGGATGCTCACCCACGCTCATCACTTGCCCTGTGCATCCTCAGTTATCGCACCACTGCAGTGTATCCCTCAGCCCGAATTGACAAGGAGAAAGGAAGATGCGTAACAGTGAGTTATGTGAAATTGTTTCATAGGATTGAAGGTGGATATGGGTGGGAAGGGACCTTGGAGGTTTCTGGTCCAGTACCCTCCAGCAGGTCCATTAGATCAGTTTGCTCAGGCCTTCACCCAGCAATATGCTGGATATCCTTAAGATGGACATGCCAACACCTCTCTAGGTCCAGTGTTTGATCGTTTTCATGTTGACAATTTTTTTTTTCCTAGTATCTGATTCAGATTTTGCTTGTCACAGCTTGGTCCATCACTACTTGTCATGTCCCTGTGCACCTCCGAGCTTCAGCAAGAAGCTGAAGGTCACCTCCAAGGACCAGCAAGAAGTCTTGCTCCAGCTTCTCTCCACCCTCCTGCTGGGTAGTCATAGGCAGCACTAGGAAACCACTTTGCTTTCCCCTTCCCAGGGGAAAAAGCCCAGCTCTCGGCCTGTCCCTGTGTTCATGGCAACCTGTTGTCCGCCAGCGCTCCTGCATCTTTGCTTCCCCGTCAGCTGGCTCAGCCTCTCCAGGTGCAGGGGGTTACTAGCCCAGGATGGTTTCTTTCTTTATTATATACAAGTTCTTTCAAGAATGGGGAAAAAATAATTAGTCACTTAAATGAGAATTCAAACCGAAAACGTCCTCTTCCTTTCACTGCCTTTGTGCTCATTCTCTAGCAAATCCATAATTGTACAACTTCCCCTGGTGACACCACTGTGTTGGCTTGCTCAGAAATACCTAGAGCCTGGGGTGAAGGTATTCGCAGACATGTTCGTTTTCTCCTTTTCTCAATAGTGCTGAAGCTCTTAGCTCTGAGTCAGAAATGTGTACAACTGTCGATAGGATGTGACCTTCACCCAGCACATTCCCATCATCATGATTTTCTAATTATGCCTGTGACTGCCAGCTGGGAGCATATAGCATCAGAGCTACCACAGCCATTGAAATGACTCAGTTAATGTGCCTAGAGTCTATTGAACAAAGTTTTATTTAATTAAGTAAGTCTTGATCTCATCAAAATCAAGAGGGAGCATCAGGGTGGCAACATTTCCAAGAAATCATATTTGAATGGCAGGTGCTATGTACTTCCTTTAGTATCTGGATCTTGAGATATTGCAAAATGCTGGTCTCACTGCTGAGTTTTGGGGTTGTCTGGTCTCATGGTTGGAGCATGGTTGTGTCCCTTGCAAGCCAGCTGGGTTGCCACAAGCCCATGGGTGAGCACAGGGTGTTTCGTACCACCCATCCTTTTTGCAGGTGCACAGCATGAAGGGCTGTGCAGGCAGAGCACAGCTGGGTACCAGTGTGCTGGGCATCGGTGCTGTGCCCCCCGCTCCAGCCATGCTGCTTAGCTCAGGGAGTTCTGGCAGCTTCTGAAGCACAGGGTGGCAAGGGGCACATCTGCACATCATGGCTCTGTCAAGGACACTGGTTTCTGGGAGAGGAACCTGGCTGAGATCACACACTCCCAGAGTGGTTTGGGCTGGAAGTGACCTTCAAAGACCATCTAGTTCCACCCCACTGCCCTTGGGAGGGACAACTCCCACTAGACCAGGTTGCTCCAAGCCCCGTCCAACCTGGCCTTGAACACCTCCAGGGATGGGGCACCCACAGCTTCTCTCAGCAACCTGCACCAGGGGCTCACCACCCTCATGGTACAACATTTCTTCCCCATGTCCATCCTAACCCCACCCTCGGTCAGTTTAGAACCGCTGCCCCTTGTCCTGTCCCTGCAGGCGCTGGTCAAAAGTCTCTCTCCCTCTTTCCTATAACCCCCTCTGAGTACTGAGCTGTCGCAGTAAGGTCTGTGCATGGAGCTGTCTCTTTTCCTGGCTGCACAACCCCAACTCTCTCAGCCTTTCTCCAGAGCAGAGGTGTTCCAGCCCTCGGAGCATTTTGCTGGCCTCCTCTGGCCAGGTCCACGTCTGCCTTGTGCTGGGGACCCCAGGGCTGGAGGCAGTGCTGCAGGGGTGTGTGAGGAGAGCGGAGCAGAGGGGGAGCATCCCCTCCCTCTTGCTGTTGGCCACGCTGCTGGGGATGCAGCCCAGGAGACGCTTGGCTTTGTGGGCTGTGAGTGCACATTGCCATCTGATGTCCCATTTGTCACCCACCCTCAGTCCTTTGCAGAGCTGATCAAGGAGCTTCATTCCAATCCCAGTTTGCTGAGCATGGCTTGTGGCTTGGACATGCTGCTGCAATGTAGAGAAAAGTCGTACTAGACCTGAGTGCCCAGAGATGTTGCAGTATTTGTGCTGTCAGTGGTGGTGAGCTCAGATCCCATTCATGGCATTTGTGCATGGGAGTGAGGGCAGATAGCCCCGTGCCAGATCCCATTGGTCAGGCCAGGCTTGGAACATCGCCAGGTGATTTACTTCGCTGGAGTGTGGCATATGCTGTCGTTTCCTCCTCTCTCTAGCTGAGTCAATAGTTCTGGCAGCCCAGGAGACTCCTGTAAAAGCCCTCGCAGTCTTGGAGAGGTGGCCCTGGGGAGATGCTGAGACTCACCAACAGGCTCCATGCTCAGCAGGCCTCTTCTCCCAGTGGGAGCTGCGTGCAAGTCACACAGACACATGTGGGATGCTTGTGGGGACAGGGAGGAAGGGACTTGCTTGAACTTGTTTTTATTTGCAACTCCTGTGCCCCCGCTGGTTGAAATATGAGAATTGCTTTACACCCTCCTGCCACTGTCAGGCTGCTCAGAGTCATTCCTGAGACGTGGGCTGTGGGACTGGAGGGGGTTTCTGGCCACTTCAGCCCTTACTTTTCTCCCAAAAGCAGCAAATTCAGGCTGGGGAGTGAACACGCACAGACACACCCTGGCTGTTAGTCAGGGGGTGCCAGTGGAAGACATGGCCTTTTGTAACACCCTGGGGAACACCAGCCC